GTACTGCGCGCGTGCTGGCCGGGGGGCCGGGGGCCAGGAGGTTTGCGGCCGGGCCCGAGGGGCCGGAGGAGTGGCGTTGTTGGCGGCTGCACCGCCTGCACGCACGCTTGCCGCGCAGACCCCCTATTGCCCTGCTCGCAAGCCCCTGCCGGCTGCACCCCTCAACCCCTTCCCCTGCGCCCGCGCCCGCCCTCGCGCCTGCCCCACCTTGCCGCCACCGCGCAGCACCCGACGACGCAAACGTACAGGCAGCAGGGGGCGCCGCGGCTGGGCGGCGACGTGGGGACGGCGCTGCGGGACGTGGAGCAGGCGCTCGGGGCGGAGCAGGTGCGGGCAGACGGTGGGGATTGGCCTGCGCGGCCGCTGTTAGCGCCTGTGGCTGCTAACGGGGTTGCTGCTCCAGCACATTGCTCAGGCTGGCAGAGCAGCGGTGTGTGTGTGTGTGTGTGTGTGTGTGTGTGTGTGTGTGTGTGTGTGTGTGTGAGTGCGCGTGTGTGTGTGTGAGTGCGCGCGCGTGCGTGCTGCATTTCCATGCCCCTCGGCAGGCAGGTTGCAACGTGAGCGGGCTTGTCGGCACGCCGCCGTCTTGCTGACTTGTCAGCGGCTCGCCGTCACACCTCGGCAGCGATGACTGATGATGGGTCGGGAGAATCGCTCAATGGCCGGCTGAACGTAGCGTTGAGATCATTCCTTTGAAACCCCCCAACCCCGCGTGCCGCCCCCCCCCCAAACAAAAACCACAGACGAAGCTTCAGGGCCTGCGCCAGCGCACGGCCCAGATCACCGCGGAGCGCCAGCAGTCGCAGGCGCGCGGGCAGCGCGCTCTCACCCAGCAGCGGGAGGCCAGGGCGCGGTGGAACAGCCTGGACAGCAAGGTCCACGCGCTCAACAGTCAGGTGACTAAGGATGAGTGGAGGGCCGGGGCTGCGCGGGCACGGTGCAGCCGGCGGGGCGTGGCTGGGATGCGCCGCGCCTGACGTTTGGCTGCTTGAGAACGCAGATGAGGCGGTCTCGCGCCTCGGATCTGGACGCTAGATCAGATGATTGATTGATGATGCACCCCCCGCGGCCAGCGCGGCGCCGCCGGCTCTCGGCTGCCCTCATCGGCACTCCCTGCTGGGCCGCGTGCGGGCCGCCCCCGGTCGCTGCATGCTGCAAGGGCCCCTCGCAGAGGGGAACCCCCTGTCTACCCAGTCTCTCTCGCGCCGATCAACGTCCTCATGGCAGCACTCCTCTTCAACGCCTCGACAGCCCACGCACACCAGCTTGCAAACACATGCATCCACATGCACTCGACACACACGTGCGCACACACGCGCTCTCACATGCACACACCCACAAACACACACACACACACACACACACACACACGTGCACCTGATTACTTGCACGCACTCACGCATCCGAACCCTCACGGCCCACCCCCGTCCCACCCCAGACCCAGGCACTGGCGCAGCAGCAGGCCGAGGCCGGCGGGGAGGGCGAGGAGGACGAGGTCGGGGCGCGCGTGCTGCAGCTGCGCGGCAAGGTCGCACAGACGCAGAGCGAGATGAACGACAGGGACGCTGAGCTGGCGGAGGCGCAGGAGAGGGAGGCGAGGTGGGGTTGCAGGCCGAAGGGAGGGGATCGAGGGTTGCAGTCGGGGGTGCAAGACAGGCGGGCTGCCCGCGCGAGGAATGGTGCGCGCCATCTGGCTGCGCGCCGAAACTCCGTCTGCAGGCCCGACTCAGCAGACATCCCAGGGCTCTGCTACCTCTCTCTCAGTCACACGCGCTTGCACACGCACGTACACGCTCGTGCGCGCGCGCGTGCGCACACACACACACACACACACACACACACACACAAACTTGCACGCGCGCACAAGATATATGCACGCACGCGCGCACACACACACACACACACACACACACACACACACACACACACACACACACACCACCTCCCAGGGCGCAACAGCAGTACGACCAGTGCAAGGAGCAGACGGCCGAGGCCTCGCGCGCCGTCGCCGCTGCCACGGAGGAGCTGCAGCGGGTGGAGGAGCAGCACGAGGCGGCGGCGGCGGAGCGGTCCAGGGTGCGGCGGCGGCTGGACAGGTGCGCGGGCGGGCGGGGGAAGGGGCGCGAGGGGGAGCCAGGTGGCAGGGGAATGGGCTGCCAGCAGAGCGCGGCGCTGGCGGGCATGACATTGCCCTGGCTGTGGTGGGAAGCGCAACGCCAAGCACAGGCTTTGCCTCCACCGCGACCGGCCGCACACATCAAGGCCCCACACACATCCACACACACTCTCACACACACTTTCCTCAGGCGCACGGACGCACCCACACGCATGCTGACCGCCTCTTTTCCTGCTCGCGCCTGCTGCACATACACACATCCTCGGTCCCACCCCGCCCCCAGCCCCACCCCTGCGCTT